ACGTCCTCCTTGTAGTGTCTTGAGTATGTTTCAGAAATACATTAAACATACCAAATCTGCAAAAGTGGTTCATTCTTTCCTTGCAGCTTCATGCTATTTTAAATGCATGTTTATTGCACTGCATTTTTGCTAGCAAGTGGAGCTATGTATGTGTTTGAAAGTTACTGTACATTTTAATTAATATTAGTGATTCCACAGTTGTGAGCTACCCTTCCTGTAAGCCTCTGCATGGTAGCAGTGGATTTGTCATCTGTCCTTACTGCATGAAATCATCTAATCTCTTACGTATCCTTGAACCAAGTCCTAACAAATAAATACTGAAGTGTTGACTTTGGGCACACTAAAGATTTCATGAAGAATGCCTTTTGTAGCCGATGACACACTGCCAAATTCAGCTCTTAATAAAAGCTTTCTTAGGACTGCCTGGCTGTGTTGATTGCACACAGCTCAACTCTAAAGGGAGGGCTTCTTGTTTGCCAAATGTACTAGTAACTGATTCTGGCTATACAATAAACACCTAATTTCCTTAAAAAAGGAATGGTCTCGGTATGTTTCCTAAGCAGTGTTGTTTCTTGAAGGTTCTGCCTTTGCACTGAAGTGATTGATTTTTCTTGTTCCTCATCTGGCTGATGGGTTTATAATTTTTTCTGTGTACACATGTACTTAAGTTTTTGAGTACCTTTGCTCTGTTTGAGTGGAAAGCACAGTGGAGTCCTGACTCTCTTTGCTGTATGCTGTGCTAAAACAAATAGGTTTGGAATGTATATGAAATTGACAACTACAATGCACTTGCTTTTGTAACGTACTTACTGAGCTTTTACATTATTCCTGAAATTTCAGTCTAAACTGCTTAATTTTCATGTGAGATACAATTTTAATACTGAAAAGTAACAAAACTTTATGATTTTATTTAAGTTAAAGAAAACATGCCGCTACCAGAATCTGGCTTGTCTAACTGCATTTGCATTTGTCACTTCAGTCATTTGAAAGGGAGCTATTGGGCAGTTAAGAAATAAAAAATTCATTTTGGTGTTGAGTTACTATCTTTGTAGTTCTGTCCAGTGTGCTCATTAGATAGAGCATGTTGATATGTTAGGAAACTTTGTGGTGATTCAAATATACTTTACTGTATTTATTTCCTAAGAAAAATACAAATTACTATGGATTACCTAGAAAGAAAATTCCTGTCCTTAAGTTGTTTCATTTATTGTCCATTTATATTTTACCCAGTTGTACATAAAGACACTATAAACTGGAGATTCTTACTAGAAAAGAAGGCAAGAAAACTATAAACTAAATATTGCATTAACTTAATTCTAACCATAATCCATTAGGATTTTGTAGCACACCACCTTTGAGGAGCATTCTGATCTAAAATATCTTGTCATATTTTAAAATGTTATACCAAAATAATTTTCTCCCTCTTCCACTTTTGATGTCAGATGTAGAATAATCTGTAATTGCAAATTCTTTGAAAACGCAGTGACATCGATGAACTACACACTGCTAAATGGTCACAATCTACCTTGAGATAACTTGGCTCAAAAATGCTGAAATAACCCATCTAAAGGCAGATTCTCAAGTGAAAACCAAAACCCATTAGGCCTTTTAAAGAGAAAAAATGCGCTTGGAGGTGAGATGTTCAGCAGATGAGTGGTGTGCTCTGATGGCATGAAGTTCATTTTACTTAAGCATGTTGCAGAAACTAATTTTTTTCATACTTTATATATATTTATAACAAGTTGGATCATAATTTTTCCCTTCACAAGTCAAAATAAACTGTAATTGAACTATTTAAATGGCAAGGAAAGCTGGGTAGTGACTGGAGTCAGTTTACATTGAACGCCAAATGTGAAGGGATTATTCTAAATCCCATTCCCAAGACTTGAAGTGGTGCATATCCGTAGGTGATATTAAAGTCTGCATCCAGCATCTTTTGTTAGCTTGTGCTTGTGCCCAAGGCTGGGGGACTTTAGAGAGCACATACTTCAAATGAAATTTGTCTTCTCAGGAGCCCTGAAATTATTAATATTGGCACTGTGCTGTCATTCAGATGCAAAATTATCTTGGGATTTGATGCTTTCTTTGGGCTGTTAGCTCACTTCTGTAGCACGAGGGAATATCCGTCCAAACTTCCCTGATTCATGAACAGTAAGGAGGGGAGTGAGTGTGGTCTGTGGGAAATGGAGAGGCTGGACATTACTACTTCAGATGATTCTATTCAGTGCTAGTTTAGTGGAAAATGTTGGGCTGTAGTAACGCAAAAGCATTTGCTTTCTTAAAAATTCACGTATTGAACTGTGAGGACTTAGTAACAAAAGGGTCGACTAAAAAGTAGGAATACCTAATGTCAGGTATAATTTTTCCCATTGAATTGGGGTGTTATTGCCTTTTGGGATATACTGTGAAATAGTCTTAGTAGGTGTTCTCACCAGTTTGGTGTTTTGTTAATAGTTTTGCGGTTTTCCCCATAAAGTATTTTTTAAAAATCATAGTTGTAGGAATTTCAGGTGTGTTTTCACAGTACTCCATGGAATACTGAAGTTTATAAAAATTAAGTTATCTATGTCTAAAATGTTACTTGTAGAATAGATAAAACAGAACATTTTAATGAAAACAGTACTTTTGATGATTTTAAATGCATGGAAACAAACCTTCAATGTGTTCATTTTTAGTGGGATAGATTTAATAGGTCTTTTCCATCTTTAACTTCCTTAAAATACTATGAAATTTTATATGAGATTGTAATTTGGAGGTGTTCTTATTAATGACCTCAGCCTGACTCTTAAAAGCAATAAGAGATGGGTTTCTTCAGAAAAGAGTTTGGAACAGCAACCATTTTTCCCTAATTAAAGGAACTACTCAAAGAAGTTTAAATTCAGAGATGAGCGTAGCATACTTGCAGGTAAAACCATTAGAAGAACCCCTGCTTTCATATAACGATTATTATATACCCAAATCACATTAAAAAAAACAACCCAATTTTGTAAATGCAAGTAAAAACTTAACTGATTTGTATGTGGTCCCTCGAGTAGAGAACAAAATGCTCATAATGAGAGAGGTATGGGATTCAAAAGGAACTTGACTGTGTTACTACATACATGTGTTGATAAGGTTTTTCCATTTGTTTTGGTAAATGGTTTGTCTAGCGCTTGCATTGTTCCTAGTTTTACTAGTGTGCTTTTTAATCTCAATTTCTGTAGAGTAAAGCATAGCTGTATGATTTGATTGAATTTACATGCTAATTGTATGTGGGACATTAAGTGCTTGACTTGAAAGAATTGCAGTGAGAATAAAGATACTGTTCTTGCCTTTAAATGAAAAAAAACCTGTGTAGATCCTGGAACAGGAATAAGTGTGAAGGGTCCTGTATGTAAATTGAAAAAAAAAATGGGAGAGAGGGAATAAAGTAATGTAATAAAATGGGAGAAGTGTGGTTCAATTTTATATCTACAGCAGATTCACAACAGTAACTTGAAATCTTGTTCTACCTGAAAACCACAAACCAACTAATTTTTAATGTAAAAGATGGAAATACCAGGTACATTCATGCTTGGATTTTTTAAACTGAGTTTAGTGTTGTGGAGATGGCCAAGGAATAGCAGAAAAACTGAAATTACGTATTGTTCTAAAAATACTTAATATTTTTTGGGTGTACAGTGGGGTCACTGCAGTTGGCTGTGTTTCTTCTATGTTGTTATGAAGTTGTTCTGTAGGGCTTGGTTTTGCGGCTGAATACAGCAACTGTATACAGCATACACACATGATGTCGTCGTAAGTATGAAACAGCTGATTTTAAGATTGGTAGCCTCTCATCAAACCAGTGAAACTCCAGTCTTACATCTGTGTCAGACAGAGAAGCACCAAACAGAAGACCGTGGTAAAGAAAAATAAAATAGTACATATTTGTTAGTAATGATGGGATGCGACTAAGGTATTTTCATTAATTTTTTGCCTTGCAATCAATTTTTTATTTGTGTGACAGGGAATGTAATTTTATTATCAGTGAATATTTGAAAGAAAAAAACCCTTTCCTAAACGAAACACCTCTTCCAAAAAAAAACCCCAACCCCAAAAAATCTCAGTGCAACACCCACCCGCAAGCAAAACAGGTTTTCCCTCTTTAAATGCTTACGCAGGGTGGAAGAGGAAATGTAATAAATGTAAAAATATGTAAAAACCACAAGGATTTGTTGTAATTCTTTTTGCATCTGTTTGCTCTTGGTGTTCTGGGCATTTTAATGTGTTTCTTTTTTTTACTGTTCATTCTTGGCTCTAAAAGGATTTATTTTGCAGTGCTGTTACTAAGCCTTAAGTGTTTTTATTTAGTGTAAAATTGCATGAAAAACTGCTGCTGCATAAACCAACTCCCACAGTACTGTAGAATGCAGTCTTTGAATTATCAGCTGGAATTAGTCTTTCAGACTGCTTCCAAATGTTTTAAATATTTGTATGCTAATGGGAAATTGGAAATATTTTTGTGCATATTTAAAATAATTCAGTACATGCATTGCTGCAGATATGAATAGCCCTTTGCCCTCCTTGCTGCTTGGTCCTGCTTCTTGCCTGCTCTGTGTCCCCCTTGCATCCCTGTGCCCAGGCAGTGAGCAGGGTAAAGGACACCCAGTGGGAGTTACGATTCTTCTCATTTCAGTGTGGAAGGAAAGAAGAGCAAGGAGCGGGCAGTAGAGCAGGACTCTTCATAACTGTGCAGAAATAGCTTAGTTTGTGCTGTAGACACAGAATGTAATTTTATGTATGTTCTCATTAAGTGACTTTGGTAGGATCTTCAGTACTTCTAAGAAATATATATCTTAGAACAAATAGGTAAGAAGCATGTTGAGGACTTTAGATATATGAATAACATGGTTATGTTTTATATTCTGAGTGATAATTTGTCTAAGAAGGAAAGTATTTGAAGTAATGAAGAAAAAAATGTACCCTAAAATGTTGAGCCAAATTTTTTGTGTGAGCTTGACCTGTCTGTTCACTTTCTGCAGTTGCCAAGAAGGTTACATGCAAGCCAGTAAAATATGGAAAATAGTGTTCTCCGTGATTTCTCCAGGAAAGATGCTATACACAGTTGCTTTAAAGAAGCAAGACTATTCACATATACTTTTTCTTGGAAGAAAATATGTAAACTGCAATTAAAAAGATGGAAATACTGTCTTTTAAAATGCTAACGTTCTTCATTCTTTGACACAATAGCACTGTGTTGTTCCATATATTATGTTTCGCTTTTAAGGGAAAGAGCATGTGAAAGGTAAGCCACAGCTCCAGTTCTAATCAACTTCAAATCAAAAGCCTTTTCCAGAAGGCACAGAAGGAAAACTGTAATAATGAAACAGTAGTTCATTTTCAGTTTTGTTCCAGTTTGGAACATTGTGCTTCTAGAACTTCCAGCTTTGTATCAGTAGCAGTTCCACATCTGACATTTTCAGAACCAGAGCTGTGCCAAATAATGTAAATAAAGTTTCTGCCTTAGTGTGTGAAGAGTGTGATTACTGCAATTCAAAAACTAAATGTTTAGAGTTTTTAAAGAAAATGTATGAAAGCAGTGTCATATGTTGAATTGCTGGTTTAAAAGTGAAAATTATGTCAACTTGCCAGTTGGGATGGCTGTGCTTTTAGAACCATTTTTGGATATGTGTCAGGTTATGGTTGCCATGTTAGTCTTTGTGTAGTTTTTGTAATACCACTTCATGCAAGTTCACCATCATTCTTGCATCACAATTGTATACGGTTTCATATTTTAGTCGCATTGATGAATGCAAGTGACTGTAGAACGGGGGTTCTAGAGCATTTGTTTTGTAATATGTAACTTGTTTAGGAGAATTTTTCATTGCTAAGCTTGCTTTCTGTTTTGTGTTCACTCTGCATGTTTTGAGCAAAATACACTTTTTCTATTGCATAGGGGGAAAAAGTAGCAAGTAATGAAAAAGTATTTATTAGGAGAGTAAATGGAAATCCTACGGCTTCTAAAATGGCAGCTGATTCAGGAGAATAAAATCACTTGGTATACTTCCTGCATCATTACTCTAGACTTTTTCCTGCTTAGGGCACACTTCAGTATTAATATTAAAGATTAAAAAAAAAAATCTATTTAGTTTCCATCTGCTTTTAATCCCAAGCATGTGTACAAGACAGTAAATTAAGTCCAAATGTCTTGATGTTTGCTCTGAATAGTACTCTGATGCCCCAAGTTGCATTAAACATGAAAAAAAAATCAGTTCGAGTTTCATAGTTTTTAAAATGAAACTTTTTAACTACTAAGTTAGAGTAAGCCAGTCCCCTGGGGGCCTGAGAAAGCACAAATCTATGGAGAAATCATGCTCTTGTTTTGAGTTGCATTATGTTACTGGGCATGCATTTTTTATTCTTTGGGACTATTGTGTGAAACTTTGTTACAAAGATTTAATAAGAAATATAATTTGTCTTATTTTATCCAGTTATAAGTATTAATTAATTGCTAGCATCTTAAAAATAGAATTGGTAATTTAGCTACATGTACTTTACTGCAGATGATGGCATGTAGTATGAGTATCAGAAACAGGGTAATTCAAGTGTTGGTGGTTACTAACAGTATGTTGTCCTTTTAGGCCTAGTTGGATAAAAGCTGATCTTGAGCATACCAGTGTTTTGCCCAGAACCTTGAAACTATGTTTGCATTTCCGCTTTATTGCTGTGGTAGTCATGGAAGTACTCACAGGTTTGAAAGTGTACGTCTAGATATTTGAGGGAGAAGGAGATAAAGGATTGATTAATGTATGTTGCTTAATTCTTGAGGCATCGGTTGGGAAAACTGGTATTGTAGAATCTCCTTTGTATGATAGTTTTTAAAAAAAATCAAAATTTTTTAAACAGTCTTGTATATTCAAAACTGCCAATGTGGAGGAAGTCAAATGGAGTATCATTAAAGAGGTGGAAAAACTGTATTTTACTAAAGGTCTTATTTGAGTTCTTGATCTTTTACTGATTAGACATTGAGGATAGTGTGCCTCAAACCTAACCTTCTGTTACGATTATGGTGAAAATTCTGCAAACTTCTGCAAGGCTTTAAAAGGGATGTGAGGATGTAAGGTGACATACTGACTGTAGGATTAGGCCAAATCATTAATCTTGAAGCTTGTTACTGGCCTGCTCTGGTTATCCTAACCCATTCCATTTAAGACTTTGTTTTCTAATGTGTATTCCAGGTTTTCTTCTGTTGTAAAAGCATTAAATTTTCTTTATGATGTGGAAGATATGAGCTGTATGAAGTCTTATTTGAGGATTCTAACACTGAACTTGATGGAAATGGGTTAAAAAAAAGCATCAGATGTCAGATGCACAATAAAAACAGTTCTTTATATGATTTGGCAGGTTGTTACATATCTCTCCATATGTGTTTTATAAGTATATGAATATCATTTATGTATTCTTAATCTGTTGTGTCATTAAAAAGAATTTGTCTCTTCCTAAGGGGGAAAAAAAAAAGACTTTGTTCTGGATTAATTAAATTTCAAAGTTTCTCTTTTGTGTAAATAAATACACAATAATTAACAGAATACATGCGAACTTAATAGTTATCCTTTCTAAACTCACAGGTGTGTGGAAACACTAATATGGAAAAGTAAAAGTAGATAAGTGCTCTTCATAGATTTACAGATGGGGAGATAATATTGTGGAAAAACAGGAAGATGTGGTTTGACCTCATCTTTCAGTTTCCTGCATCTAAAAGTTTAGAAACTCTCATAGAATTAAAAACCGCAAGTAATGACTCTTAGAAACTTCATCTAAAATCCTTAAATGTTGTTTCAGAGTTCTGCTATAAATGAAACTAGTTCAGTGTAAACATTCAAATAAAAGACATATTTTAATGGACAAAGTAAGTCTGAAAGCCTGTGTTTCATTAAGATGTGGAGAAGAGTTACGTTATTGGGGAGTTGGCTATATTTTCTTATATTTTTAGTTTTTATCTACATAACCTAAAGGAAAAGAGGTGAAACTACATTAGTGACATGCAGGGGAAGGTCTAAATATACAAGACAAAACTGTGCTGGGAAAGGGCTGGAGTCCAAATATGTATACCTTATGTACCAATGCATCCAATAGAGGACTTCTATTTCAAGTTCAGAGAGCTCCTGTGTAAAATTAGGTGCTGCCCAGATCTGGTTCTGTTCTTACTACAGGAAAATGTCATCTTTGCCTTAATTGTGACAAAACAAGAATAGGGTTATCGGGATTCAAGTTTATGGAGAACATAATTATCTTGCCATAGTGATAAATCTGAATGGTTGAAGAGTTAGCATCTTAGGTAGCTTGTCTGATTAGTGGGTGTGTGTACAGCTGCATGACTGTCACAGCCTTCCCACTACTTGGAATATGGTAGTGCCTTTGGTTGTTTCAGCAGTTGCTTCATGTGCCTCAGTTAATGAAGCTCCTTTATGGCTAAAAGGATGCTTTTCAAAGTCTTCATCTTTTCTGCTAAGCAAATATCATTTGCACAGTGACAGCCACCACAGATGGGGGTTTGGAGTGGTATAGTCAGGAGGTGCTTAAATCAGCATTTAGCTCTTGCCAGCTACAGTTGTCTTAGTTTACACCTTTTCAGTCATTGCAGTGCTCTTCCAAATACTACTTTTCATTAATTAGAAATGTGGTATTCTCAATTAGGCATTGATCTGAGCAAGCTTGAGTAGAGACTTAAGAAATATCGTAGAAAATTTTCAAAAAATACAAACTGTTTCTATTTTTACTGTCAATGATACAAATTCCTTTAATAATTCAAGGTTTGCTACAGAAACTGAATTGTTGGATGACTCTGATTCCCTAATTTTGTAATAAAGATATGAAAACTTCATTCTCCCTCCATTTTCTGAGGATCTCCTTTAAACTGTGTGCATATCTGCTTTTATTTTAGCTTGCATAGCTTGGTGTAAACTAGAATCACTTAAACTTTATGCATAAGCATTTCCTGTCAGAGCATACCAAGTAGTTAGATGCTGATCAGATGCGAGATTTTGCAGAGCTCAGAATGAAAGTAAGTTGACCAAAATAAGTTGTTAAATAAGATGAAAATAAAGTTACAAGAAGGCAAGAACAAAGTTGAGCAGAATGTGGAAACAAACTGAGTTCTGAAGGTGGTCTGTGAGAAGCAGTGTGAAAGAATCTGATAGCGGGTAGATATTCTGTTAACCTGTCAAAGAAATGGATGCATCGGTGTGCAGAACTTCAGTTTGAAATGTGGACTGCTTTGGAGAAGCTGCTGCTTGCTTACGTGGAGTTTCTTTTTCAAGACGTTGCAAATAATGTTTGTTGTGTGTTGGAATGGATGTTTGTTCCTTATGTACATCAAAAGTCACAAACAGGTAACTGAAGTAAAAGCTTTTATGTTTTAGTCTGTGTAGCCATTGTCTCATTAATGTGTTGATACTTACAAATTTGTCATCTGAAATAATTTTGATAACTTAGTTTTAAATCAATATTTTTAATGTAAGAATTATAGCATGAGCTTCCATCTTGAAATCTGAATGAACCGTTATGAAAAATAGTACCAAGAATCAATCTCTTTGATTAGAAATATTTAGTCTTGAATATGATGCCAACTGACTGCCTTTCATGTGAGATGATAACAGAAGGAAATTACCTGTTTCTTACCATGTGGTCTTGGCTTAGTCCTGTGCAAAGGGGTTTCATCACTGAGGCCTCTGCACTCTGCTCTGAAGTGAAGAAAATGGTACCCAACTGGAGTGTCTTTTAAGAGGGGGTATATGGCAGAAGGGTTAATAGTTTTCTTAACACTCACTGAAGTGCCTGATCCGTTATTCAAACTTGAAATTATTGCTATTACAGTGCTTTTCAGTCCTCTTTGTTACATGTTAGTAGGTGCTTCCTTTGCTCTGTGTATGACACCTAAGGCTTAATGCTTTTTAAAAAATGTTTGATGTTCACTTAGGAAGCTACTTCATTTTGGGTAGGAAGAATAACTTTATCTTGCAGGTAGTAGTGACTTCCACTACAATTAAGGAATGTGAAATGGTACTAGGAAGCTGGGATAAATCCTGCTTTAGAGCAGCATCAGCAATATGTCCAGTTGTGCAAGGAAAGGACAAAAAACCAAGTTCAAGTCCCAGCTTGCCAGATGATGGAGCTTGTACAGTAGTAGCAAGTAGAGAATCTTTGCTCTTCAGTTTTATGCAGTTGAGTTTACCACTTACCCTGTTTTGAAAATTTTCACAGGTTCCTTGGTGGCATTATGCTCAACTTTTAGCCCTGGTCTGAATACTAATCTGCTAGACTAGGCAAGTGCAGGCTTGGTTTGTTGCAAGGTCTAGTTATGTCGTGTTGAAACAGATCTGTAAATGCTTTCTTCTCCCCAAGACAAATTTTTGTGAGAAATGGTTCTCTATTCAACATTGCTGTGTGGTTTTGTTTGTAAACAGGTAAGTCAGTGGGCCAGTATGTGATAGAACATTTGCAGGATGCCCTGCAGTTTGTTATGGTTACTGCTGTTCCCTTGTCTTTGTCTTGAAATAAGCTTCCATTTCCTGTATATTTCATATCTAATCTAACACTTTCTGTTTCCTACCAAATACAGCTGTATTGTGGTGGCAGCTAGAAATTGGTGTTCTGCGCTTGTTATGAAGTAATCTGAGTTAGAAGTTGTCACCCATTACAATTAGCACAGGAAACATGTTACTTAATTCCCACAATGAAGTACCAAATCTTTTAGGTACAAACAGAAACACAGGGGGTTCCTTCTGGGCATCAGGAAACACATCTTTACTGCGAGGGTGGCGGAGCACTGGCACAGGCTGCCCAGAGATGATGTGGAGTCCCCACTCTTGGAGACATGGTTCTGGGCATTGGCTCTAGGTGGCCTTACATGAGCCAAGGATTTAGAGCAGAGGATCTCTAGAGGTCCCAGCTTTAACCGTTCTGTGATTCTGTCATCTAAATAAAGTTTTTACTTTATTAAACTTTATATGCTAAACCCTATTACATGCTTAGGTATTTGAATGCTTCCTTACTAGGTTTCATTTCAATATAGATGTATGTATTGAGTAGTATTGTTAAATTTCACATTTTCAAATGAAGCACATCAAAGATGAAAGCTCTTTGAGTGAATCTTGAGGTGTTGATAATAAGGACTGTGTGACCTGCCCTTCCCCCAGCACAGTCTTACTGCTTCAGAGATTTTAGCCCCACAAAGATAATCAGTTCTGCTGTCATTGTTTTGGAAGAGGAGGTTAGGACACGGGCCTAACTTGGCACCTGCTGCAAAACTGACAGGTAAGGAACCCTACAGGAGGGAATGGGGAGCATTGTGTGAAATTGTGCCAAGCAGCATTGCTAACACTTCAGAGGCTGTGTATCAGTGTGTTTCACAATTCCTGAGGAATAGTGATCTTTTAAATTAGAGAAAATTGGATTATACACAGTCTAGGAAGTTTCCTGTGAAACTAGATTCCCCCTTAGTTTTTGGAAGATGCAAAATGTCCTCAAACTAGTGAGGTCATCACATCTCAACTATATCTAAGTATTTTTCTATAATACAAATATATGCTGTTTTTTTTGTAGTCTTAAAACTGTAAAATCTGAGAAAACTATATCGGGCTTTGCCTATACTAATTTTTGCTACTTTAAAACAAAAAGCATTTTGAAATAAAATTAAACTGATGTTAATAGAACTATGCATATTTAAATGTCTCTAAAATCTTAGTGGTTCTCTTATTTCAGATTGCATAATTGTAAACTTGTTTGCACAGTGTGTAGCACAATGGTATCCTGACTTCTGTTAAAGTAATAGACCTATACTTATGCTACTTAATTCTTTGCTAGCTGTGCTGGCTTAACTTGTTTACCAGCAGACTTTTCTAAATTTGTTTCAAATTCTGTAAGTTTCTGTGATAGGTGACCTCAGAGTTTACAGAAGTTGGCAAAACAAGCTCATGAAATTTTAACTGTAGCTTCCAATGCCAAGTGATACAGCAGTTTCAGATGCTTTTGATCTGACTTTCTTGAGTTTTCTTTGTGAAGGCGCATCTATACATCATTATTTTTAGGTGACAGATGATGAGGGTTAAGGGTTAATCCCTTGCTTCTTCAACAATTTTGTACTTTTTAGCTGTTTGTGACAATGTAAAGAATCACAAAATGCTCAGAACTTCACATCCATGTAACAGGGCATGTGAGTACTGAATGGAGAAAATTATACTGTTCCTTGGAGGTTTTTCCAAACTGGTCAGCATGAACGCAGTCATTGAAAGTAGAAATCTGAACATTTGAAGATATTTCTGCTGTATTAATAACAACATAAGTAGAGTGGATAATTATGAAAATCGGTGATTAGCCAGCTATTCTGGTGCTGAAGTTTCCTCGATATGGGAATGTCAGCAGTATAGGGGAGGGGGCTGTTTTAAAAAATACAGGATTGAGTTGCTGTTTTATATAGGATTGTCTTAGTGACTTTGACTACAGCTTGGCAGTGTGCAAGATTTTGCAAAAAATATAATGTATACATTTATATATATAGCACTTAAATTATACTGTGTGATAGAAGCCTGAGTGATGTTAAGAAGTTAAAGACTTCCTTCTGCTGATCAAACCCAAACTTCTTAGAAATCATGAGGAATCTTTTTTACAAAAAAAAAAAGGGATCCTCCTTTTGTTTTAAATGCATGGCATCTAGGAACATAATGACTTGTAAATGAACAATTTTTATTAATTTTACAAAGTGCTTACAAATGCCAGTATCTTTGAATTCAGACCTCACTTAAGCTGCTCAGGTGAAATCTTTGTCCTTTATGTTTAAATACTTTCAGACATGGTCATCATTCCCTAAATACTGAAGAAATAGTCCAGCTTCTGTATGGTGAAGTATTGCAGTGCAGGCAAAACAGAAAAACAAATGTCCCTTGATTACAATATTGTCACTGGCATGGGTTTATTGACTAGCCGCTAGAAAATGCCACTGTTCGTTCTTTTTTGAAATCTAATTCCAGAAGAGGAATATCACTACATTCACATTCCTCATTCTGTGTAACATGCTAACTTCAGGTACCCTACACCTTATAAATTGAAAGTTGTGAAATAGATGTAAAATATTTTTAATAATCTTGTCAAGGGAATTGAATGCCTTGCTGGCTCGGTTGAAGTAGTCTTTGCCCTTTTGTTTCTAGGAACTTAATACTCCTTCTGGTAACGTTAATTTTTTTCCCTTAAGTGCTTACTTGCTTCTACTACTTTTCTGCAAATATATGCTCCTCCAGGGAGAATTTGGCAAACACGAGATTGGGGAAAATTATGTAGCAGTTTGTCTCCTATAATCCCTGGCAGCCATGCAGTGATGCCGGGTGACGATTTATTCTCTGATGGTTTTATTGTCCTCAGCAGGGGCTACTCACAATTAAGATGAGCAGGTTTGACCAGACTTAAGTGAAAACTAGATGAATGGAGAGGATAAGGTTGCTTGACTATTTAAGAATGTCTGTAGCACTGTATCTTTTGTTAGTATGTCAGCAGCCAAAATTGTTATCTGTTACCTTTTGATAGGTAAACCTGAACAAAAGGAAACATGAACACAGCTCTGCGGATCATCTCGGGTTCCCTTTGGAAACCCCAAATAAGTGGCCACAAGGGATTGTGTGTTTTCCTGAGAACAGCTCAGCATTGGAGTTCTTCCTTTCTGTGTGATGAATAGTGGTTCTGCTACTCTCAAAATGATACCTTATGCCTGCTGGTGCAAAATGCCATATGGTCACTTGAGGGGAAGTCAGAATTTACCCACGCTGCTGTTGTGTGTTGCTAGGTAATTTTTAAAGTAGACCTAAAATAAAGGGGGAAATGCAGGGTCATTTAGGGGGAAAGCCCTTTGCTATAGTGGCCACCAAAAATCCTGTTAATTAAAGAAACAAAAGCCAAAAAAACTCTAACCAAACAAATCTCAAAGCCTGTTGTGTCAGTCAAGCCAGTGAAGCTGCCCAACATGAATGTGTAAGGTAAACTGTCCTTGAGTGTTGCAGTGTCGCAGCTGTCCCTGCTCAGTATGCAGCACTGGCAGCTTGGAGCTCATCCTGCACAGCTGTTCTCTATTGGAAAGACAGTAGTGCAGATACCCTGTTATGCTGAATATGTGTTATTACTTGAGATAGGAGAACTTAGGAGTGGGTTTTCAATTTTCCTTGATGATGGCACAATATATGCACAGTATCACTCAGTTCATGTGTGATGCATCTGTTTTCTTCAGAATAGGCATGTGTATCATGCTGTTGGCCTTTTAGACTATTTCACATTAATTTTGCTTGGCACCATATGCAGTTTGAGTTTTAATTAAAAGCTTTATCACATGAATCAAAATTCAGAGTTTGTTACTTTGAAAATAACTTTTGCTGTGTTCCTGCTCACTCTTAGAAATCCATTTTTCATCACTGGATGTGAAGATACGTTCAGGTCTAACAAAGTCATTGCTGTTAATCAGTAGGTTTTACATAGGTTAATAATAATCTTAATTTTTTTGTAGAGAGAGAATCCTGAAGAAACAGCACAGAGACACAGACCCAGTAAAATCCACCCATATTGTAGCACTACCAGCAGTCTTACTGGCTGGTTTCAGGGCCTGCCTTCAAAAACATACCAGATTTATGTGCCTACAACTTTTACTAATATCTACTAGTTGCCAAGAATATGGTTCACTGCTTTCTCTTCAGTAAATCTAGGTGGCCAAGAGCAGGTAATATATACTGGCTGTTACAGAAACTGGAGAGACGGTGTTAGGCCTATAGTTGCTTTAGCCTTGTTAATGGGGGGGAAAACTATTGTGTTTTTTTCATATTAAAATAGAGACTGAAAGATGTGCAGTTTGTAATTATAGCTTCCCTTTAAGATGCGTACATAGCTATCAATAGCTGCATTAATTTCACCATGTGAAGGTAATGTCCCAGGACACCAAATGCTTGTCCAGATGACAATTAGAGCCTGGACCCCGTGACTGACAATTTATCACTGTGGCCATTATTGCATTTGACTTGCCAAGTGATTTTAATCCTGGCACTTGCAAAATTATAGCTGTAGTTAGAAAGGGTTAGTGGGCTGTGCTCTGTCATTTTTGCTTTAGGAATAAGGTAACCATCTTGATGAATCTCCAGTACAGAATAGATAATGGAACTTTTGAAATTTCATAGATAGCAAGCTGTACCATGGGAGTGGGAGTTGGGGTAGATGAAAAGGAATCAAATGGGAGAATTGATAAATTGACAGCACTTTTATAGGACTCACAAGTTGTGCCAACTTTGTATTTATTCTGAGCTGCGAGTCTCAGCCTGTTTTCAGCTGTGTCTGATAAGGTAAATGTTACTTTTATTGTAAATGTTTGTGGCTGTGTGTTGTAATTTACACGTATGTCAGTTCTGAGTTGCTTTTTGGGGGCTGTTCTTGAATTGAAGCTAGCCTGAAAGGTGCTACATGTGTGTGGCTTTTCAAAGGAATTCTTTCTGTAACAAATACTTTGCACGTAAGTTTTATGATCAAACAGGACCTCAGGATGTTGGTAAATTAAGAAGTCTTTATCTGAGAACATACAAAGTTCTTCACCTCTTAGCGCTGCTGTAATTTGGATCTTTCCAGGCACCTTTCTGCAGGAATTTCATTAGGGCTCCTGGGCTCCACAACACATTCCTATGCCTGAGTAGTGGATTTTGTTAAGCCTATCAAACATTACAGTGGCTACATGTTATTTTAAGTTGGAGGTATTTATGGAGAAGAGGTGATTTTAGCTGGGGGAGGAGGGAATGAATGTGTGTGTATAGGTGAGAGCTGTTTTGAAGCCTGGCTGGGGCGTAGAGCTGTTGAATTTTAAACACTTTAAGTAATTATTTGCACATGACTCTGAGGGGAGGCACACAGAGTTCAAGATGCATACCCTTATTAACACTTTTATTTTGGCCTTTTTTTATAGAATTACAGTAATTTTAATTATGATTTATTAAATATAATAGGAATAAGATAATATTCTGACTAGCTGTTTGTTCTTCCAACTGCACTTACTGCAAATACAAGCAGATCTATTGCAGAAGTTGTAAAATTACAAAAGTCTTAAACTTTTGTATCAAATGCTTGTAGTATTAAAATGCATTTTAATGATACTTGTATGCAGTTCTGTTCTGAGATGTTATTATATAATGAGACATTTCACTCCAATTCAGTTTAGTTGTATTATTTTGATATACGGCTTTGCCCCTTATAAATGTCAGTAACTAAACCGACAGGAGGCTGTGGAACGAGGAGGCGGGTGCAATGAGAGCAGTTAGTTCTCAATGACTCTGTGTTGTGTGCAGGGATCCTGATTATTGTAGTGGCACTAATATGACAAAGATGGAATGTCACTTTGGCCAAGTGCATTGGCAGGCCTAGAAGACAACATATGGTATGTCTTCTGTCACATGAAGTTATGTGTGTTTTAGAAAACCTCCAAAAAGAAATGACTCGGGACTCTTTGGAGCAGAACTGCACTTAATCTACTCCAAGCAGAAGTATGAAAATCTAGGAGCTTGTTAATGTTCTTGGAACAGCTGTTTAACTGCTAAGGCAGTAAAAATAAAATTGGGGGACAAATCTGTGGTAATTGGGGGACAAGTGGTAAGAGTGGGTAGAGAATAAATGGATTTTTCTATAATTCTGTAATTTACTGGTGTTTGAAAAGAGAAGCTACTGTATTTTCTAGTTTGTTTGAAGTGTCATAGTTATTTACTGTCTCCTTATTTTTTAGGTTACTATTAAAATCTTAAAATGCTGATGAAGACTGCCTTGTGCAGAATCCTCGTGTATCTTAAGCACACGAAAGAGAATCATAAACCAAGTTTTAGTACAAGGTACGTATTAGGATACATGGCTTTATTCAGCAGTTACTGGAATTAGGAGCCCTCTTTTTGTTCAGATTGTGATTTGACATAGAGTAGTTCTGCTTCCACACTTCAGCTAATACTTTATTTCAGATAATGTAGTTCCTTGCATAATTCCTGCCATGTGTTAACATGTTTTTAAAGGACTTGAAGTACATGTACACAGCCTCTAGCAGTCAATTCAAACTCTGGCTAGCCATAATGTGTCTTACATCCAAAACTCATAGTGCCACATTAATACGATGCCAAGTCTGAGCTACTGGATGTTACTGATACACTACACTCAGAATCCAGTTTGCTTGTATGACCAATATAGTAGTTGCGGATTCTGAACAGTCCTTGGCATGAGCCAGTAGGCTTGATCTGGAAGGCTGTGTCCACGTGCTCTGTAAAACCTGGGGTAGAGTTCAGAGTACACACAGCTGTGTGGTGCCATCTGCCCTGGCTGTTGGCAGCATCTCAGTGGGACTGACAGATAAGAATGCTTTAAAGGGAGTTTTATGCAGCTTGGTTCAGTAGTTCTGATAGTTCTGAAATTCTAAAATACCAGTTTTAAACACTGATGGGATTTGACCAAGATGTGCAAGTTCTACTGGTAAAGCAAGACAAATTTGGGTTAGTTCTCCTCTCTGTTTGTTTGGCCTAGTAAAAGGACTCAGATCTATTTTTTAATTATGTGTAATAAGTCCATGGCAGGGTGGTAAAACTATGTGATCATCTCTCCGTAAGCTGGCAACTGTCTTTGCAGTGCAGTGCAGGATGCCACTGACCACCTTTGTGACCGGGTCGTGCTCTGGTGGTTCTTGGAGTTGGTGTTCATCAGGACCACCAGATCCTTACCTGCAAAGCTACTTTCCAACTAGTTGGCCTTCAGCCTGTCCTGGTGCCTGGGATTATTCCTCCACAGGTGCAGGATTTTGCATTTCCCTCTGTTGAATTTCATGAGATCCTGTGGGCCCATTTCTCCACCCTGTTGAGGTATCGCTGGATGGCAGCGTGACGCTCTGGCATTAGCAGCCACTCCTCTCGGCTTTGTATCACCTGCAAATCTGCTGAGGAAGTGCTCTGTCCCATCACCCAGGTCACAAGTGAAGATGTTGAAAACAACTGGCCTCAGTACAGGGATACTCTGCTACTCACTGGCCCCCAGCAGGAAGTTGTGCCATTGACCACAACCTTCTGGGTCTGGCTGTTCAGCCAGTTTTCAGTCCACCTCACGGTCCACTTACTGAGCCTATAGTTTTTATCTGTTTGTCAATGGAGATATCAGGGCAGTGTCAAAAGCTTTCCTGAAGTCAAGGCAGACAATATCCACTGCTCTCCTGACGTCCATGGAACTGGTCACCTCATCACAGAGGTTAGCAGGTTAGGTTCCTTAAGAGTTTACACATTACCTCTTTGTAAGTCCATGCTGACAGCTGCCACCTTCTTGTCCTTCTTGGTCTGGAAATGGTTTTCTGGAATAGTTGGTCCATCCCCTTCCCAGGGCCTGTAGTTTCCTGGGTCCTCCTCCCTGCCCTTCTCAAAGACAGGAGTGACACTTGCTTTCCCCTGGTCCTCGCACACCTCTCCCAGTTGCCATGCCCAGTCAGCAATGGAGTGGCCTCACAATGCCAACAGCCAAGTCTCTTGGCATTCGTGGTTGTATC